AGGGGGGCAGGGCGCTCGGGGGTTGGTGGGAGGTAAAGGAGTGGTGGCAGGAGGTTCAGCGGGGCTTTGGGGGGGACGGCGGGGACATGTGGGGGTTTGGCGGGGATTGAGGGGTGTCAGCCGGCAGCGGCGGGGTTAAGGTGCCCGGGGTAGGTGCACACATTCCTCCCCGGCGAGGGCAGCAGCAGCCCCGGGGTCGGGTTTCGCCGCCCGCCCCCGGCCCGGCCCCGGCCCCTCCCCGCAGCCCCCGGCCCGCGGGCAGAGCGCGCACACGCGGGGAGCGCGCACGGCGACACCGCGGCCTCGGGGGGCTCCCACACCTTCCCCCGCTCCCTCCAGCCTCGGTCACCCCCCGTGCCCACCCCACAGCCCTGGGGGAGAGCAGCCCCCACGATGCCCAGTCCCGGGGATCAGCCCCCGTCCCCACGATGTGCAGAACCCCACGATGTGCAGCCCCCCACGATGTGCAGCCCCCACGATGTGCAGCCCCCACGATGTGCAGCCCCGGGGGCATCACCCCCCCGTCCCCAATACCCACCCCGGAGGGCAGCACAGCCTCTTACGACCTCGGGGACCCCCCAGCCCCCCCAAGATGCCCAGCCCAGCATCCCCCCCCCAGTCGCAGCCCCCCGTGGGGAGCTCAGCCCACCCCAAGATCCCCGGCCCAGCAGCCGCAAAACCCCCGGACCGAAACCAGTGCCCGGTGCGCCCCTCTTGGGGACACCCCAGCCCCCCCAAAAAGCCCATCCAGCTGCACCGCCCCCAAAATCAGCCTCCGGGCGGGGGGAGCGCAGCCCCCCACGATGCTCAGCCCTTGGGGGGCACCCCCGCCCGCAGGCCGCCCAGGCAGCAGCGCTCCCCCCGGGACATCCCCCGTTCCTCCCGGGGCTCCCCGCCCCGAGGGGCCCCGGCCGCACCTTCGAAGTCGGAGAGGATCCCGTCCAGGTGCTCCTTGACCGAGAGCCGGGCCATGGCGGGCCGGGGGGGGCCGGGGCTGCCGCCCACCCGCGACCCCCGCATGCGGAGGGGCAGCGCAGCCGAGCCCACCGAGCCCACCGAGCCCACCGAGCCCCGCGACGGGACGGGCCGGCGCCGGCTGCCCACGGCGGGAGGGGAAGGAGGAGGGGACCGGCCGGGGGAGGGGAGGGGAAAGGGAGGGGAGGGGGAGGTCCCGCCTGCGCCCCCGCCCCGGCCCGAGACCCCCCCTCCTCCCCGGGCCCGCCCCATCCCGGATGGGGATGGATGCTGCAGCCCCCGGCTGGGGGTCCCCGGGCAGGTTGGGGGTCCCCGAGAGAGTCGGGGGGAGTTCCTGGCCGGGCTGGGGGTCCCAGGAAGGTTGGGGGGCCCCGGCGGGCTGGAGGATACCGGGCAGGGCTGGGGGTCCCGGAGGAGCGGGGAGGGAGCCTGGCCGGGCTGGGGGTCCCAGGCAGGGTGGGGGTCCCCGAGAGACTCGGGGAGGGAGCCTGGCCGGGCTGGGGGGTCCCAAGCAGGCTGGGGGTCCCCGAGAGAGTCGGAGGGAGTTCCTGGCCAGGCTGGGGGTCCCAGGCAGGCTGGGGGTCCCAGGCAGGTTGGGGGGTCCTGCCGGGCTCCAGCGGGAGGGGATTCCAAGCGGCCTCTCCTCCCCAGCTTCTGCATCACCCAGGAACTTCCAGCTTGGAGCAGGAGGAGGAAAATGCTCTGTCCCGGCTGGGTGTGGGGTCTTTGCTGGGGTGTCACCACCCTCCGGTGTGTCCCTGCCAGGGGCCGGGTCCCATGCTGGAGCATCCCTGGGGACTGCGCTCCCCGCGGGCATCCCGGTGCTGTGCCCACGGCGAGTCCCAGGGTGGCACTGGCAGCACCCCGGGGTCGGGGTTGCAATGGGGCTGCCCCCCTAACCCAGGGCTGGGGCTGGAAATCCCTTCTGCACACAGAGCAATCCCTTCTCCTCCCGGCAGCACATTCCTGCCATGGCTGGGGACAGGGACACAGCACAGGGACCAGGGCATGTGGCACACGGTGGTGGTGGCCTTGGTGGCACACGGTGGTGGTGGCCTTGGTCGTAGCCAGGCTTTGGGGGTGTTCAGAAGTGCCACTGGCCCATAGAACCACAAGATTGTTGTGGCTGGAAAAGTCCTGAGATCATCAAGTCCGAGTGTCCCCCAGCACTGCCAAGGCCACCACTGAGCCGTGTCCCCAAGTGCCACATCCATGTCTTTAAACCCCTCCAAGGGTGGGACTCCCTCAGTGACCCGGGCAGCTGTGCCAGTGCTGACCACCCTTTCCATGAAGGAATATTCCCAATATCCAGTGTAAACCTCCCCTGGCACTGTTGGGGACATTTCCCCTTGTGCTGTCCCTGGGAGCAGAGCCCGGCCCCCCTGGCTGTCCCCTCCTGTCAGGAGCTGTGCAGAGCCACAAGGTCCCCCCTGAGCCTCCTTTTCTCCAGGCTGAGCCCCTTCCCAGCTCCCTCAGCCCCTCCTGGTGCTCCAGCCCCTTCCCCAGCTCTGTTCCCTTCCCTGGACACGCTCCAGCCCCTCCATGTCCCTCCTGTCACGGGTGGCCCAGAGCTGCCCCAGGGCTGGAGGTTTGTCCCATGCTCAGCCCCCCGAGCCAGGTCAGAGCTGGGCTGGGCTGGGCTGGGAGCAGCTCTGGAGCTGTTCTGAGGGATGCAGAGGCCTTCAGAGCTTTAGGTCTTTTCTGGAGCAGTTTTGAAAAGGTTGGAGAGGTTTTAAGCCGTTCAGAGCCCTTTTCAGAGGAGGTGCAGCAGAGCTAGAATGGTGTGGAGCAGCTCTGATTATTTTTTTATGAGTTTTTGAGACGCTTTGGAGCTGTTTTAGGGTTGCCTGTGCCCCTTTGGTGTCGTTCAGAGGGGGTTTAGGGTAATTGTGAACTGTTTGAGTTTAGAGATGTTATTAAAAAATTTAACTCTTTTGAGAGGCACATGAAGAAGGTCCAGAGAGGGGGTTCAGAGGGGTCCAGAGGGGCTTCAAGGGCCTTTTGGAGGCTCTTGGGGCACTCGAGGAGTTTCACAGCTGCACAGAGGAGGCTTGGAGAGCTTCAGAGCTGCCAGGAGACCTTTTCTATGATCCATTTTGAGCTATTTCGAGGAGTTTTAGAAGCGTTTAGAGGGTTTCAAGTGCTACTTTGAGGCAATTTGAGCATCTTGGTGCCTTTCGGGGCTGGCTGGAGGAGCACGAGAGCTGTTTGAGCAGTTCAAGTGCTTCAGCAATGGCCAGAGCTCCATCCTTCCAGAGCCTGAGCTGCTCCAAGGAGATTTACACCTCCTTGAAGCAACCCAGCACCACAGAAATCCCCCCACAGCTATTTATTTACCCCATTTCTAGAGCAGCTTCGACATGGTGGAGGCTGAAATTTCAGAGGAATTTTTAAAAAGGAAGTTTTAGGGTGTTTAGGGAAATCTTTTGGTGCACTCCAGAGCTGCTTGGAGGGTGTAGAGCAGTTGGGAATGCTACAGAGGTGATTTACAGATGCTCAGAGATGCTTTGGAGGTGCTCAGAGATGTTGTAGGTCCAGCTCAGGGATGGTTTAGGCAGATCAGGGATGGTTTAGGGCAGCTCCAGGATGTTTCTGAGGTGCTCAGAGATGCTTAGGACAGCTCAGGGAAGGTTTAGAGCAGCTCATGGACAGTTTAGAGCACAGCAGGAATGTTTTGGAGGAGCTCTGGGATGTTTTTTGGGACGTTTTATGCAGCTCAGGGATATTTTAGAGCGTGTCAGGGATGTTTCGGGACAGCTCTGGGATGTTTTTGGACAGCTCTGGGATGTTTTTGGGCAGCTCTGGGATGTTTGATGCAGCTCAGGGATATTTTGGACCATATCAAGGATGTTTTGGAGCAGCTCTGGGGACGTTTTGGAGCCTCAGTGCTGCTCTGAGCAGTGTGGAGCAGTCTGAAGCAATCTGGGGGGTTTTCAGAGCTCTCAGGGTGTGGCAGAGCCTTTCCCAGCTCTGCTGCAGCTCCAGGGCCGCCCGGAGCAGTTCAGAGGAACAATCTGGAGCCATCCCCAGGCACGGCAGGAGCTGGGAGGGGATTTTGCACGTTCAGGCCCTTTGGGGCGGCTTAAAGGGGTGGGGAGGGGTGGAGGAGGCTTAGAGGGGTGGGGAGCAGCTTAGCAGGGAGGTGAGGGCGTTTAAGGGATTTTTGGAGCAGTTCAGAACAGCCCAGTGCTCCCAGCGGGTTCTCCCGGTGTGGAGGGAAGGGAAAGCTCCGTGTTCCTGCCTGGAGCAGCCCCACGAGTCCCTGTCCCAGCCTGTCCCCCCGTCCCTGGGCAGCGGGATCAGCTCCGAGGGTCCCACCTGGATCCTCCAGGAAGGGGAAGGGGGAATTCCCCCATTCCCACCCACACAGCTTGGCTGGCCAGGGAGATTTTGGCTCCCTCCGACCTTGATTCCTCTGGATGGAATCAGTGGGGTCCAGCCTCCCTCATCCTCATCCTCATCCTCCCAAAATCAGGGCATTCCAGCCACGTCCAGCCTCCCTCATCCTCATCCTCCCCAAATCAGAGCATTCCAGCCATGTTCAGCCTCCCTCATCCTCATCCTCATCCTCATCCTCATCCTCATCCTCATCCTCATCCTCATCCTCATCCTCATCCTCATCCTCATCCTCCCAAAATCAGGGCATTCCAGCCACGTCCAGCCTCCCTCATCCTCATCCTCATCCTCATCCTCATCCTCACCCTCATCCTCATCCTCCCAAAATCAGGGCATTCCAGCCATGTTCAGCCTCCCTCATCCTCATCCTCATCCTCATCCTCATCCTCATCCTCATCCTCATCCTCATCCTCATCCTCATCCTCATCCTCATCCTCACCCTCACCCTCATCCTCATCCTCATCCTCATCATCCTCATCCTCCCAAAATCAGGGCACTCCTTGGTGCAGGAACATTTCCACTCGATGCACCCCACTGCAGATCCAGCCCTTGGATATTTGGGATGCTCCAATGCAGCACTCAGACCCTCAGGATGCTCCAATCCACCTCTGTGGAAAAAAAGTCTCCGGGCAGGAATAGTAACAGCTTTTAATCCGACAAGAATTGATACATCAGTTAAGACAATACCGTTGTTGCCTCTTTTTTGGGGGACTTCCTTCACATACTGGTCGGGAAAGAGGAACATTTTCAGGATGTACAGTTTTTGTTTTGTTTTTCTCTCTCCATAGGGACTTTAAAGCATGGTGAATGTGCAAGTCAGTGCTTTTTGTTTGCTTAAAACTCTTTTTTCCCGGTGCTTATTTACAGTTACAGTACCTCTGTGAGAGCGACAGGAAAAAACAAACGATTGTTTGAGACCTGGGGATCCGGGATCCCAAGTCGAGAAAGGCAGATCTCCAATATTTATATATTTATACATATATATATATATATATGCTTTTGTGTATACACAGATACATTTCTCTCTTCTTTTAAAGTATTAAAAAAATGGATCAACCTTCATTCTATAAAAATACCTACTCTACAAGATAGAAAAATTTTCCCTCTCCAAGTATACACTGATTTACACCCAAAGCTTCTCTGGAAATGTACATTACGTGGCTTCTTCCCGCGGCCTCGGGGCAGGGAGGGAGCAGGGAGGGATGGGTGCAGGAGCTGCCCTGGGGTTTGGGGTTCGCCCTGACCCCGCAGGAGCTCTGGGGATCAGCCCCAGAGGTGCCCTGGCTGTGGTTTGGCCGCTGTCCCCTGGGATGGGGCGGTGGCAGCAGGGTCACCCCGAGGGCTGGAGGGGGCCTGGGGGGAGCAGCACCCCCGGGATTGCTGCGGCTGCTGCTTCCAGCCCGTTCTGGCATTCCCAAAACCAGCCGATCCCGGGGATTCCGCTGGTTCCTCCCGGGAGCCCGGAGGGGCAGGGGGGACATCGGCCACTCCCGGGGCCACCCTGTGCCAGCAGCTCGGAGCTGTCTGCTGTAAACATGGCTTTTGTTTCCCGGGGAGCTGCTGGTGCTCTCCATGGGCACAGATTCCAGCCCGGAGCGCCAGGGATGAGGAATGAGCTCCAGCCCAGGAGGGGAAAGGGAAAGGGAAGGGTGGCCGGAGCGGGCTCTCCCTCCAGGACTGCCACTGTCACCAGCAGAGCCCTGCTCCGCCTGGGAACGCCACAAGCCGCTGTCCCCATGTCCCCAGGGCTGAGGGAGCGGAGCTGCGGAGCTCCCCAAGCGCTGCGTGTCCCACCCAGGACAGCAGAGGCGGCCCCAGCGCGGGGTGAGGGGCTGCAGCCTCGCCCCCCGTGTCTGTCCCCAGCTGGGGACGAGGGACAGTCCCCCCGAGCCACCGCAGAGCCCGGCAGGACAGGAGGGAGCGGAGCCGGGATGCCGAGACGTGCCGCCAGTACCGAGCCACAGACAGCAAAAATAAATAAGGAGGCAGGTGACCAAGTGAGCTGACCTGTCCCCGCAGCCCCGGGCTGCCCCTGCGGCCACCGAGGCTCTGCGACCCAGCAGGAGCACGGGGCAGGATGGGCTGAGCCAGCTGGATGAGGCCATTTGCATTAAGTTAATTAAAAAAAAAAAACAAAACCCCAAACCACAACCAAAGCGCAGCCCTGTGCGAGTCCGGGAGGCGCTTCCCCGGTTCCCAGCTCTGCCCGGTGGGTGTGTCAGGGACACTTTGGCACAGCGATGCTCGGCCGGGCAGGGCAGCAGGGCAGTGCCAGCGCTGTCGCTGCCACCTCCATCCCGCATCCCTCGGAGGGGCGGTGCCCGTCGGGACAGTCCCCAGCGCCACAGGCACTTCCCGCAGTGTCCCTTTCCTGAGCTGCTTCTCCAGGTTCCCTTTCACGCCTCCACAGCCGGGAGGGCTTCAAAATAACGGAGTCAGACAGCAAAGCCTGGCTGCTGGTTCTCCTTTTCCCTGGTCCGTGGCTCAGTCACTCCCCGACCTGAGGCTTCCCTGTGCCTTCATCAAGTGCAAAGACGTTTGGAGTCCCTCTTCATCCTCTCAGAGCACCAAATCCTCCCGGCTGCATTACTTGACTTCCAGGATGGAGGGGTTGGTCTCCATGATGGCCACGATGATCCTGTCGATGTAATCCTGCAGGCGGTAGTTGATCTCCTCTTGCTTCTGGATTGCTTCCATCAGCTGCAGCAGAGGGGAGAGGGAGGGAGAGGTCACTGCCTGACACTGCTCAGGGCTTCCCGTGGCTCTGTGCACCCATGGCTGACTCCCTGGCTCTTCGCTCTGGACTGGGATATTCCTGACCTTGTTAAAATGGCCAGGGGAAAACTGGTTCTGCTCACTCCTGTCCTTCCTTGAGCTCTCAGCCCTGGAGAGAGCAGGGAGCATCACATCTCCATGGGATCCCCAAAATATCCAGGTGTGTTTCCCCACTTCCCGAGGTGTTAAAGGTTTCATTCCAGTGCTTGTGCAGGCTCAGGCACCTCTGGTTGGTGTTCAGAGAGTTGCTGGGATCTCCAGGGGGAATGTCCTGGCTCCCAGACTGATGGACACAGCCCGTGGTGGCTGCTCTGTCCTGGAAGGGGAAAGCTGTCCCAGGGCAGACAAAGCAGAGCTGCCAGAATCAGCAAATGGGCAGGGAGCAGCTTCCCTGTCCCCAGGAGGGAGGGCTGGCAGGGTGAGAGCTCTACAGTGTGGGGATTTCTCTGCTCTTGACATCTTTCAGGGGAATTTTGGGCACGGGCTGAGCTGCAGACAGGGCACATCCACTCCTGCCAGGCCGTGCCAGCTGGGGGCACCCAGGAAGGTGAGTCTGAGCTAGCACGTACCTCATCTCTGGAGACAGAGCTGATCTCTGCTGCCAGGGACTCGGAGAAGGAGGCTGAGAACAGGTTCTTGGCTCCCTGGATGCTCAGGTTGATGATCTGCCCGTTCAGCTCATCGTTCTGCTCCTTCAGGTTCCTGTTATCCTGCTCACACACACAAACCACACGCTGCTGCAGCACCTGGTGCTCAGAGCTGGTCCAGCCCAGCAAAGGCACACAGGGGCTTTCCTCCCAGCACAGCTCACACGGTGCTGGGAACAGCACATGGGCTGCTGCCTCCGTCTCTGCAGGGCCTGGAGAACCTTGGGAAGCATGAGACACACTGAGAAGATCCAGGGGACACAGGAGAGAGAGAATGGCTCCTGCTGTCCCTGAGAAAGCACCAACCTCCCTCTCCCAGGACAGGAAAGCAAGACAGCACTGTGCTCCAGGATCCACTCCATCCCCTGGGATGAGAGAGCCCCCAGACCCTGCTGGTCCTCCCCTGGCATTAGGGAATCGTTTCCCTGCCAGCCCAGCCCTCCTTACCTGCTTGAGCTGCTTGATCTCCTGCTCCAGCTCTGTCTCCCGTGTCCTGCTGTTGTATTCCTGCAGCCCCATGCTGCTGCTCCGGCCCCTGCGCTGCTCCGCCTCCAGCTTGAAGAGCTGCAGGTGCTCCAGCTGCTTCCTGAGGTCCTCGATGAGCTGCAGAGCAAGGCAAGGGGACAGCTGAGTGCCACAGGCCTGGCAGACCCAGCAGCACCCTCTGGATGTGGCTGCTGTGGGAGCCAGCAGGTTCTTGGCCACAGCAGTGGCTGCCCCTGGATCCCTGGCAGTGCCCAAGGCCAGGCTGGATGGAGCTTGGAGCACTCTGGGACAGTGGAAGCTGTCCTTGCCCATGGCAGGGGGTGGAACAAGATGAACTTGTGAGGTCCTTCTCAAACCCATTCCATGACTGAATTCCTTTCTGGGAATTTCATTTGGTTTCCTCTTCCTCCCTCACACCTCCAGCAAGCAGGAGATGGAGAGCTACTGACATACATGAGCATAGCCCTGCAAGGACCTTGTTGGAGGGCTGAAGATGCTGGGTGTGGGTCTGCAGCAGCACAGACTCCCCAGCAATGCGGGTCCCTCCCCAGCCAGCTCCCTCCTGCTGCAGGGTTGGGTCCCCACCTCACCCCAGAGCCCTCAGTGGCACCACGGTGACAACAAATTCCACTTTGGGGCAGAGTCCTGTCCTGCCACCACCAGCAGGCTGCTGGGGCCTCCAGCTGGAATCACCAGGCAGAGATGATGGGAGCACTGAGGGTTGATCCAGCGCCCAAGCACTCAGCTCCCACCCCTCTGCTCTGCCTGCTGGCTCCATGTGCCTCTGCCACTGTCCTTCCAGGTAGGAAGAGAAGGGGCCAGGGTAGCACAGCCCCTGCAGGGACAATGCTGGATGAATTCCAGAGCAGCAGAAGCGACTGAGGTGCTGCTGCTGAACCCCTCTCCTCTGCCCAGGCAGCCCTCACTGCCCCAGGCACCCATTTCTGGAGAGGCTGCCAAGGCCAGATTCCCACATTTTGGGGACAGGGCTGTGGCCAGCCCAGGCTCCACTCACCTCCTGCGTCGACTCCTTCTCCTTCTGAAACTGGTGCCTCTCCTGACTCAGCTTGTCCCCCATCTTCCTCTTTTTCTCCTGCTCCTCTGTGAGCTGGACAGTGAGGTCCTCAATCTCATCCAGCAGCTTCTGCTTCTCCTGCAAGGACACAGCAGCCCAGTGAGAGGCCCTGGGGCCCGGCTGGGCGCTGGCTCCACAGGGAATGCTCCTCTCTGAGGCACCAGGAGGCTCTGCCTGCTGGGATCTCATCTGCTCAGAGCCTGGGGCTTTGGCAGCACCGAGGGAGGCAGCCAGGGATGGCTCCAGAGTGACTCCATATGAATATCCACTCTTGTGCTGTTTTCTGGGAAGCACGATGCTGGTGTGGGATGGGCTGGGGCCAGCACGGGGCTCCAGGCCACGGAGAGACATTAAATCATAAGGCTCCTTATGTCTGGATTTCAGAAAAGTCCTGAATCTGAGATCTTTACCTCCCTCTTGGTTTCACATATGAATGGCTTTACTTGAGGGCTGATCCAAGAAGGAATAGACCAGCTGAAGCCAGGATGTAAAACACACAGCCCAGCTCTGTTCCCCTCTCCTCCCCAAAGCCGTGGCAGAATGTTTGGGATGCAGGTGAAGATGCCAACAGCCCCTAGAGCAGCACCTTCTGCCTGTGACCAGCTTTTTCTGCTTCTCACTCCACCCCACCATCAGTGATTCTGGGGGTGCACGAGGAGCTGGGAGGGCACACAGCTGGGACAGCTGATCCCAAAAGCCAAAATGGATTTTTAATACGATATGACAACGTGTTCATCAATATAAGCTAGGGGAAGAATGAGAAAAAGGGGGTGTTTGTCTTCCCAAGTCACCGTTAGGCTCCCTGCTTGGTGATGGAGCTCTGCCTTCCAGGAGATGCCTGAACACCTGTCTGCCTTGGGAAGCAGTGAATCAACTCCTTGGTTTGCTCTGCTTCTGTGGGCAGTTTTACTTTACTTAATAAACTGTCTTTTCCCTCAACCCACAAGTTTTACCATTGTTGCCCTTACATGGTGGAAAACTTAGAGTTTAAGGTTTTAGAATACACTAATATATATAAAGCAAGATGGAGGTTTTAGGGTGGAGGCTGGTCCCTCTTCACCTTCTTCTCCATGGGTTTGGGTGGTTTTGTGTAATTGGATAAAAAGTCCACATTGCAGGCACGAGTGTTTGGTTATTGGGTTAAAAGTAAAAATAATTTAGGTGTCATTTCTTAATTGGACAGTTTATCCTTAAAAGGCCTTATAGAGAGAGAAATGGGGCTCCATTTTCAGTCTGTTAGAGTGAAGTGCTGCAGAACTCAGGGTTTGTGAGACTGTGACATAGATAAGAACTAATAAACATCTGAGTCCCAACAAGAAATTCCATCTCGTGATTTAACCCTGACCCTGGCAGAAAAGAAGCAAAGACTCCACAGCTCGGGGGTGTCCTGCTCCATGGAGCAGCACCACACCAGCAGGAAAGGCAATGCTGACAACAAAATCCTGATTTTTGGGCACTGGGCAGGAGAGGAGCTCACCAGCCAGGCTTCTCCTGGGCAGAGAGGGGCAGATGACTCCTTCATCCCATTCACTGGGGAGAAAGGGAGAATGGCTCTGCATGGATCAAAACCAACTTCCCATGGCTGAAACACACCATGGCAGGGAATTTATCCTCAGAGCCACTGGGGTTCTCCTCCCCCCAGGCTCAGCTGTGCTCACAAGGTCCTGGCAGATGAAGAGCACATCAGGAGGGATGGAGCTGCAGCACTCTCCCGTGGGATTAAACATGGATAAAATGCCTCAGGCCCTTCAGCTGGGAGAGGAGGTTTGATCTCAGGTTAATTTTAACCTAAATTCTGCCCCAAGCTTGGCAGAGACAAAATGCAGCCCCTGTTGCAGGTGTTCCACCTGTAACCCACACTATCCCTAAAGGTGAGGCTCTTTCCCATCCCAAGGAGCCTTGGGATGCCCCAGCCCTGCAGGGATCCTGAGCAGGGTGACAGTGAGAGAGGCTGGGAGGTGACATGGACCTTTGGAAACTCAACTCACAAATCCCAGGACATGGAGATGGAGCATCCCTGCTCCTCCTCCTCCCCTGCACTGGACTGGCCACAGGGATGGGGACAGGGATGGGGACAAGCTTCCACAAGAGGGCACGAGTCCCCTCCTGAGCAGGCACTGCCACAGAGAGATTTGTCAGGCGTTTATTCCCAGCTTCCAGGCTGAACAGTGGGAAACTACACGGATAACTGTGTGGGATAGTGCTGTCCAAAGTTGGGTCTGCAGCGACTGGAAAATGGAAGCAACTGGTGTGTAACATTAAATGGATCTCATGTTCATGAAAATTCATCCCAAAGCCAGAATTTCATCCCAAAACCCTCTGGCCTCACCTCCTCAAGCCTCTCGATGTTGGCTCTCAGGCAGGGGACACAGGACCTCAGCTCACTGTTCTCATCATCCAGCTGCTGCAGCCTGCAAAGGGAACGGGTGTGAGGATCATCCCAGCATCCAAAGAGGGGGAGAAAACATCCCCAGGAATACTAAACCAAAGGGAAGCCAGCAGGGATTCATCTGTTCAATGCAAACCCTGAGATTTCTGCTGCCAGGGGAAAGAGAGGGGCATCCACACAATGCTGACATCCATCAGCTCCAGGGCTGTTCCTTTTTCAGTCCCTGCACAAGCCTCAGCAGCAGAGACATCAGAACAGGGGGTCAGAGAGGGCTTTGGGTTTGCATTCCCAGGTAAAACCTCACTGTCTTCACCTTCCATGCACTGCAAGGGATGAACAACAGCAAAACATTCTGGGAAACCTGGAAAAACCCTGTCAAATAACTGACACCTCTCCCACCCCACTTCTTCCTTTGGAATCCACCAGGCAGCAGGAAGCACCCACCCTGGCTGGGGCACTCTGCCTCTTTGGAGGATTCTTCTTTTCCAGATATTTGCCTGTTTCCATCAAAGTGAAAAACATCTGGGCATCAAAAGTACTCCAAGGAGTTAGTTATGGGAAGAAGCATTAACAAATCCCCTCTTCATCCCCACGCTGCAGGGCAGGCACATGGATAAAGGGTGGGAGCTAAACTTAAAATGCATCAGAGCAACTCAAACAAAGAATCTAAGGTTAGGTCTGTGGGCCAAAGATGGAAATAACCAAAACTCAGGGTTTGTGGTGACTTTAGTCCCACCTCAAACCCACTGAACTCCCTGCCTGCCTCCCTGTGTCCCCCCAGGGCTGCCTGGGCACAGATTCTGGGGTGGCTCCAGGAGAGCTGCCCCCTCCAGCCCCACCTGGCCTGCAGGTTCTCGATCTCAATGCTCTTCTCCCTCTCCATTTTGCTGAGCAGCTCCCTCTGCTTCTTGATCTCCTCCAGCAGGGTCTGGTCAGCCCTCAGCTCCTGCTCCTTCAGCTGCTCCTCGAGCGCGTTTGCTCTGCAGAGAGGACAAAGAGGGGATTAAACTGTCCTTAGGAGCAGGCTGCCATGCCAAGGCAGGGACCAGACTCTCCTCCCAGCCCCCTTACCACCCCTCAGGTGAGCTGGGAGAAGCAGATGGTAAAACAGAACAAGCTTCCAGGGAAAATACACTAATCACCATCTCAAAGAGTTTCACTGCATCCCAGCAGATGCAGGAGAAGCAGCACCTTTTCCATCACAAGTTTCCCAAGTCAGATGCCTTAAGGAACACAAGCATGTTATTCAATTTCCAGCCTGGGAAAGAATTTAATTTTTAATTATTTTTAAATGTCTTCTATGCATTAGAATTATTTCCAAGAGCAGACACACACATACATATCTCTTAATGGGAATCTCAGAATCACTGAGGCTGGAAAAGACCTTTAAGAGCATCTAATCCAAACATGAATCCCAGGGCTGTGCTTCCACCTGCAGTAGCCATGGCAGAGAAATCCTCCTTCAGCTGTTTCTAGCAGGAAGTGGTCTCATTGCTCAGAGAAAAGGCAACAGCCTCAATCCTTCTTCTTTTCACTCTCTGTGATCCCAACAACAACCAAGGGATCTGCAGGTCACCCTTCCCTGTGTGCCAGCAGAACTGCAGGTCACAGAATCCCAGAAGGGTTTGGGCTGGGAGGAATCTTAAAGCTCATCCAGTGCCACTCCTGCCATGGGCAGGGACACCTTCAATTATCCCAGGGTGCTCCAAGCCCTGTCCAGCCTGGCCTTGGGCACTGCCAGGGATCCAGGGGCAGCCACAGCTGCTCTGGGCACCCTGTGCCAGGGAAGAATTCCTTCCCAATACCCCATCCATCCCTGCCCTCTGGCAGTGGGAGCCATTCCCTGTGTCCTGTCCCTCCATCCCTTGTCCCCAGTCCCTCTGCAGCTCTCCTGGAAGGGGCTCTGAGCTCTCCCTGGAGCTTCTCCTCTCCAGGGGAGCTCTCCCAGCCTGGCTGCACTATCCCAGGTTGCTCCAAGCCCTGTCCAACGTGGCCATGAGCACTTACAGGGATGGGGCTGGAATTTCTGCAGTGGCTTTGCCCAGGAAAGGCTTTTCCCACTCCTCCCCAGCACCCAGCTCACCCAGAGCCAGCTGACACCTCCAGGCCAAGCTGCTGAAGTGAAAACATTTCCCTCACTCCCACGTTTATCAGGGCTTAGGGAAACCTTTGTTTGAGTGGCTCAATTCCCTGACACAACTGTTACTTAACAGAATTACAGCCCTATAGATAAACTGTGCTGGGCTTATCTGCCCAGGGTAAAGCCATGCTGGGAGAGAGGAGCCCGGCAGATCAGCACACACAGGGATTACACCATGTGGGATCCAAAGGGCTGCACCCTGGCTAGGAGCCAGCAGGAGGCAAGCCCTGGAGCTCCAGAGACCATTTGGAAAGGGCATGTGGGGCAGGAAAAGATAGTAAATATAAATATAAATAATATAACCATAACGGTAATAAATATAAATATAAATATAAATATAAATATAAATATAAATATAAATATAAATATAAATATAAACAATATAACTATAACTATAATAAATATAAATATAAATAATATAACTATAATGGTTATAAATATAAATATAAATATAAATATAAATATAAATATAAATAATATAACTATAACTATAACTGTAATAAATATAAATATAAATATAAATAATATAACTATAACTGTAATAAATATAAATATAAATAAGATAACTATAACTATAACTATAACTGTAATAAATATAAATATAAATATAAATATAAATATAAATATAAATAATATAACTATAGCTATAACTGTAATAAATATAAATATAAATATAAATAATATAACTATAACTGTAATAAATATAAATATAAATAAGATAACTATAACTATAACTATAACTGTAATAAATATAAATATAAATATAAATATAAATATAAATATAAGTATATTTTTAAAGCCAAGACCCAGCATTCCAGAGACCTTTTGAGAGGGACACACGGAGCAGGGAAGCACATAAAGAAAACCCCAAACCAAACCAAAATATGAACAACAACAATAACAACAAAAACTCATCCTGAGTTGGAGGGAGCCACAAGGATCATGGATTCCAACTGCCAGCCCTGCACAGACACCCCAACAATCCCACCCTGGGCATCCCTGAGATCATTGTCCAAAGGCTCCCAGAGCTCTGGCAGCCTCGGGGCTGTGCCCATTCCCTGGGGAGCCTGGGCAGTGCCAGCACCTCTGGGGGAAGAACCTTTCCTGATCTCCACCCTGACCCTCCCTGACACAGCTCCAGCAGTTAAAAGCCATATGTAAAAATCACCAAAAGCCAAGTCCTGGAGCTCCAGAGAACTTAAGCCCATAAAATATAAAATCTCCACGTCACTGAGTGCTGTTCTCAGCTGGGATGGAGTCAATATCCGTGCTAAGGGCTGTGGTTTGGGTTTGGGAAGGGAGCTGAAGCACGAGGAGGGGGAAAGGCCCCCCAGGTGAGGCCCTCACCTGTGCACCAGCTGCAGGTTCTCCTGGCGGAGGCGGCTGTGCTGCTCCCCGTTGGCAGCCGTGTCCTTCTCCAGCTCCGTCACCCGCTTCTCCAGGAACACCACCTGCAGCAGGGACACACATCAGCCTCTGGGCAGCCTCAAACCCAGAGCAGCCCCCACAGCATCCCTAAACAAGCAGAGTTCCCACTGGAATTGGGCAGTCATGCTTGGATTAAAGCATCCCTTTAAAACATCTTTTTCTAGCCCGTTTCCCAGGTTTTGATGGCTCCCGTGTACCAGTCTGGGGTCAAACACTTCACTCTTTCCTTTCTTCAATCCCTTCCTGATGACAGCCTCAAAGGAGTCTAGAGGGACAGATCCTGGTGGATCTCCAGAGCTCCACGTGCAGCCCTGAGGTTGGATAACTCCCCACTGCCTGGAACAGGATGGAAACCCTGAATTTACAGGTGGAGGGGTCAATGCCAGCTGGTGGGGAAGGACTTGTACAGGGTTTATTCCAGCTGTATTTGCATTTAATTCATTCAAATTCCATATAAAACAATCCTGCAAGAGAAGAAATGAGGAGCATGTCTGGAAAAGCCAAACCATGGCTCTGGGAGAAGGGCAGGAGACATGGGAGTAGTAAAGAGGCTGTGCAGACACACAAAGCCTTTTCCAGCAGTGCCCTTTCCACCAAAGATTTCCCAAGTCAAATGCCTTAAGGAACCCAACTATTTTATTCAACTTCCAGCCTTGGAAAAATGTTGATTTTTATTTATTTTTTAAAGGTCTTCCCTGCATTATAATTATTTCCAAGTGTAGCCACACATACACATTTCTCTTTCACGCACAGCTCCTCAGGACATTCCTATTCCAGAGATAAAAAGCCACTTCCAAGGAGTTTCAGGACTTCAGTACATATCTACACAATCTCAGCTTCTTTCCCATAGCCTCCTCCCCCTGTTTTTTAACTAGGGATACTCAAACAAAATCTCTTCTGTGCTCCCATCTTATCCTACAACTCTTTTCTTGTAATACCCCACGAAAAGTCATCAGCACCAGCACAAAACCAACTCTACCCTGACAGCACGAGCGGAGTGTGCCAAGAAGAGGAAGCTCCTGTTTCACACTGGGTGGGTTGCCTCAGAAAAGCAGAACCTGAGAACATCTTCTTGTGTGAAGGAGAAGTGAAAATGCTGCCCTGTGAACAGCCCATTCCTCCTCCCAGCACTCTGGGGGCATCCACTGCCTCTGGAGGAGATCCAGCATCACCTCCTGGCCCTGCACAGCTCCTGGAGTGCTCCTCTCCTCCTCCATCCCCCCATGCCCCATCTGCACAGAGAGGAGCTTCAGCCTGATCCTGCCTGGGAGCACTGCAAGGCACTGAATCCTGCAGGGTAACACAGACCTCACCCCCTGAACCCTTTCCTCTCCACATCCCAGAAAAGCTCAGCAGCAGCAGCACAAAAGCAGCGTGATCCTGCTGGCTGAGGGCAGGGCAGAAGGGAAGGAGGCCTCACCTTGTCTGTGATGTCCTCGTCGCTGCACTCCAGGTTGTCCCGGTAGGACTCCTCCATCACCCCCACGGCCAGCGAGCTGGTCTGGTGCAGCTGCCTGGAACAGAGACAAACCACCCCCACCCACAGCAGCACCAGAATCAGCACCATGGTGACACCAGGTGACAGCCCCTGGCCACCCCCGCCCTCCTCAGCCTGTGCCCCAGGGATGTGGCAGCCCTGCTCCTGGGAGCGCTGCGTGTCCCCTCACCACGGAGCTTCCCGGGAAATCCAACGTGGACACGCTCCCGGGACTTCACACCGGGATCCTTGCTCTTTGGAATGGGAAGAGATAAGGGCTCCCTCTTCCCACTTTCTTTCTGCAGCCCAGTCCCAAGGCTGTGGATTATCCAGCAAAGGCCAGAGTACTCCCAGTGCTGATAAGGCTGGGAAGAAGTGAGGGTGTAAGGGGAGGGAGAGGGGCAACCCCCCCTGAGGCTGCTGTGCCCCCCCAGCCCAGTTAATCATTAATGAGGCCTCATGACAGAGGTGTCCCCAGCTCTGGGACAAGCTAAAGGACACCCTGGAGCGGGGCTCCTCGGGGCTGCACCCTCGGTGTGGTGTGGATCTGCCCTGGAACCCCAGGCAGGAGGAGAACACTCTGCTCTCTGCTTTGAGCAGAGGACAGATGACAAAACCACAGAGGTCTCTTTAAACCTCAGTTTTTTCCCAGGAATTTGTACCATTGGCTCTTGAATTCCACCCACTACAGTTTGCTCATGCCAGGACTCACTAAGCACAACTGGCATTTACCAAGAGACCACAGCCTGATTTTGCACCCTCACCCTCAGTTTATATTTAGATTTTAAAGTCTCAGGCACATTTGTCATTTAAATTGTGCCAAGAACAACAGGGCTTAAGCATCTGAGATTTCTTGGCACGAGCAGAACCTGGATAAGAAAAGTGAGGAAAGAGCCCTTACCAAAATAAAATCAATTTTCTAAAAGCAAATGTTTTGGGATTATTCACTAATTACAGTATCTGCAATAAAGGATTTGCTTTGGGCTGAGCTTAAGGATCTGGCTCAGCAAAACACTGTTATCTCCCTCCTTATCACAAACCAAACCTGACTGCTCTTGAATTAACTAATATTTATGCAAGCCCACACATCCCTGCCTCAGAAAAGCAAAGGGCCAGGAGGGCTCAATCCCCCATAAGACAGGGTAGCTCCATTCCCAAAAGTTTAACTCAAATCCTGACAAAATTATCTGTGCCAGGCACGGGACAAAAACGAGTCCTAAAACAGGAAACCTGGGGACAGGCTGCTCCCCTCAGCCCTCCTTCCTGCCGGTGTTTTTAACAAAGCTCGAGAAAGTAAGATGAGTGGAAGTAGGAAATGTAATATCAAGGATCTGCTTCCTTTCCAGGGGGGGAACCGTGCCAGGGGAGATTGCTGAGTGCAGGAAAAATGGAGAAGGGAAAGGTGTGAGAGCACAGCGGGAGGAAGAGGTGCAGGGTCAGCACAGGGAGCAGAGTGAGTCTCAGGAACAGGAACATTCCCAAACTGAGCTGCCTGCTCCTCCACAGTGTCCCTGTCCTGCTGGGAATCCAGCAAGGAGAAATCCAACAAGTGCAGAGGGAAATCTCCTTCCTGAGCGTGGCAGAGGCAGAACAGCGAGCTAAGAGTCAGTTTATCCTTAAAATCATGATGGCATGAGAACAAGAGGGATGGGGGATCTGGGAGAGGAAAGGTGAGCACCAGGTGACACTGAGAGGGGAGGGAAGGACCCTCTGCTCCAGAGATCCACAGCAAACTGCCTGGATATATCCAATATATCCAATATCCCTGTGCAGTCAGGGGTCACAATGCCCACCCAGAAAAGGTGACTGACACCACACGAGGTGGTTGTGCAGAACAGAAGCAGCACAGCATTAAACCTGGGCTTAAACCAGGGCTAAACCAGGGTTAAACCATTAAACCAGAGTTACCTGCAGCCCACCCAGTGCCCCAGAGCCCCTGACCCCTGAGCAGGGTGAGCTGCTCCCACAAAGCCAAGTGTTGAGGGTGACATGGAGTTAAGTACAACAGGACCAAGAGCTGTCTGAGGCAGCTGGAATTTTTGGGGTGCTGGAGAATCCCTCCAGGTCCTGCAGAACTCTACAAACATGGTGATACTGGGAGGGATCCCAGATTGGGGCATATCTCAGAGGGATATGTCCTTCTAGAGACTCCTTCCCTCCTCCATGTGCCCCCTGCTCCGGCACTGGCAGGACAGAGTGTGAGGAAAAGCCCCCCCATTTTTTCCTGGAAAAAATCAGGTTGCCAGCAGCCTCCAGCCGTGTGCATGAGTGAAAAACCCCCATTCCAGAAAAAAAGATACCAGAATTAAACCCGCTTTTCCCCAGCACTATGGAACATGTCCAGAATTACAACCCCCCAAGCTTATTTTGAGTTCTCCTTCCGTGGAGCCGCCAGCTCGCACGGATCAAGCAAACAACAACAGGAGTATGAGCTTACCTTGCCACCTTCTTGCTGGAAAGTCTTTTATTTGGACTGCAAAATGAAGAAAAAACAGGAAAGAGTTAGAAAAGCTGACAGTGGAGGGCCAGGCAAACAGGAAACTGCATGGACTCCGGGGCACATCCTCTGCTCTGGCAGGGAGCCCTTGGCATGCACCCCCAAACCCCTGGAAAGGGCAGGAGAGGGGCCACTCCTGTGCTGAACAACAAGGAATAACAAAGCACATGGAATAATGCTGGAGAAGAGCTCGCTGCCCCCTGCCACGCTCTGCTCTCCCGCTGATCCCTGCCTGAAAACCGATCCCCAAGCAAAGAGCTAAGAATAGCAGGGAGGCTGGGGGGGCTCCAGCCCGGTGCTGATGGCAGCCTGAGCCACATGTCCTGCACCCCAGAGCACCCCAAACCTCCCCTGCCACCCCCAGAGCTCCCCTGGACTGGGGACCAATGGCACATCCATCCTTCTGCCATGATCCCACTGGATCATGATCCCAAACGATCCAGCCATGATCCCACTGGACCAATCCATCCTTCTGCCCTTCCACAGCCACCATCCCACTCTTGGGCTCTGGATCACTGGGAAGTGCTGCCTGCTCCTGGCTCAGAGGCTTCAGGAGCTGCTGGTGGTGTCCCTGTGTGGATTTTGAGCAGGGCACTGTTGCAGTAGCTGTGGAGGGGGATGAGCTCTCTCTCCTTCTCGCAGATAACTGATGGGGATCACTCCTTGAATCCATGTCCGAGCCAGCTGCCACCATACCACAGCGGTCAGGGATCAGTGTCACCACAGGACCAGCAGCCAAGGGCTGTGTCACCGTGTCCCACCTGCAGGGGACAGGCTGCATGCTCTCCCCTGCTGAGAAAAACCAGCCTTTTCCAGAACCAGCTCCTTGCTGAGATGCTCCTTCCAGTCTTCTAGTCCTGACTGCTGCTGGGGAAGTGGACAGGGCTCAGATCTCACTCCTCAGCTTCCACCCATGCTGGTGTCACAAGGTGCCACTGGGCCACACCAAATCCTCACTCAGCCATGGCAGCAGGAACAGCACCAATCCAAGAAGCAGCAACTGCATTCCCTGGTGCTTAGCTCAGTTTTAGGAAAAAATAACAAACAAAATCATCTGGAAGTCCACTCCCGCCTGGAGCTGCAACATGAGTTCTTCGAAGGAGGGATTAAAAATAGCTTAGGACAATTTGCTTTGTAAAGCAACCCCCAAACCTGACTGGGGGCTGTTGTCAGGGTGACCAGCCCTCGGGTCAAAGAGCATCCTCAAATCCCAGATTTCCAGAGAGCACAAGAGCTGCTGCTGGCTGGGCTTCAAGGCTGCTCGGCACCCAAGGGGAGGAGGTCAGGCCCTGGTGTTTGCCAGGAATTGTAAGGAATGGCCCCAGCACTGGGGGGAAAATATTTTCCTCTGGAAAAAGCTCCTGGGGAAGTGACGGCACCTGCAGTGTCCAAAAGCTGAGACACCAGCAAGGGCACTGGAACAAAACAGAGGCACAAACACTTCATTCCAAGCTCCTGGAGGAGTCTTCCCTGCTCTCCCATGCTGTGGGCTCAGGAAGCAGCACCCCAATGCTGGGAGCAAGCTCCCCAGTTTATTCCAAGGATAAAAACACTGTCTATGTGCCTGCAGTTTTAACGAGTGAGGCTGTTCTGGGGTGCTCTGGGCTTCATCCCAGCTGCCAGAATCCCCTGGAGGAGGTGTCTTCAGGCTTGTCCCAGATTTTGGTCCAGTTCCTGCTGCTCCAGGACTTCTCCCCTGCTCTGAGGGCCTCATCTCTGTGATGATACAGGGAGGAGCAGCAGGTCCTGCATGTCCCACACGCTGCTGCACGAGACATCTCCCATCCACAGCACACAAAGTGGGGGCACTGCCCCTTCCAGAAAGGCCCTTGGAAAATATTCCCAGTAAATTTGTACTTGGGAAACCCTGAACACAGATGGAGGAATTGCACCTACTCACAGGGCAAATCAAAGCCCATGGAATTCCCACCATGAGCACGGGACAGAGAAGCTCCACAGGAAATCTCACCCATCACAGGAGGCTCTGAGGTGTTAGTTCATCTTTGCAAGTAGATGTCGTGGAGAAAACCTGAAATGGAGTGGGGCTTCCAGGGAAAACCAGTGTTCTCCTTAATACCTGCATAACCTGAGACCCATCACTGACCCTCAAGGCCTCCAACAGCAAAGACAGCTATTTAGCCAAGAAAAATAAAGGGAGAGATTTTTTTTCATTAAAAAGAATGGAATTCAAGCTCCTATTTGTTTTCCAGTTCTCCTCTCATAAACCAGGAGAGCTCCCAGATCACACTGTCCCTGCACAGGACAGACAGAGACCAATAACAGGACAAAAACCAGGTTTGAACAGCCACAATAGCCAAGAGAAGAAAGATTTACCACCAGTGTCACCTCCTTCTACCCAGAGGGCTGCAACCAGTTCTGAATGAACAAATCAACAGGCAGAAATCCATCTCCACTCTTCAGAAAACACATCCAGCTGCTGCCTGATCCTGATCCAGACCCCCAAAATGCCATTCAAAACCTCCTAATGTTCCTGGTGTCTGTGACATCTCCCCAGCCCATGGTGACCCCGGGGTGGGCAGGCTGGGGGTGAAGCTGGGTGAGACAGGATTTTATTGCCCCCGATTCCTGTGGAGCAGGCTGATGCCTTCATGTTGTTCCTGCAGCAGAAGGATGGGCTGTCTCTGCCCTTCCAGGCTGCCCTTCCACACCACTCCCAGTCTCTCCTTGGTGACAGAAATACTGTACACAGCCAGCTCGTGGCTCCCACGGAACCCACCATGCACAGGCATGCAAAGGGCAGGGAATGATCTCCTTGTCTGCCAGCCCCCTGCCTGCATTAAGGGCACCTCCTGCTCACCCTCCACGAGCTCCCCACCACCTTGAGCACCTGCAGAGGCTCCATGGCTGGGTGAAACTCATCCCCTCCCCAGCAGCACGGAGCGAGGGAAAAGCTGTGCCAGACAAGGAGAGCCTTCCCAGCCAGAAGAGCCCTCCCAGGCTGGGATGGCCACGCACACGAGCCCCGTTACCTATTCATTTCAAGATCATTCAGGCGAGCAGAAAGATCCTCGAGGCGGTTGATTTGTTTGTGGCACTGGCTACAGTAAAACTCAAAAGCTTCATCTGTGAGAATGCTGTGCAGTTTGACAGCGAGAGGATTGGTGCTAGAGAGAGCACAAGGGTCATGTCAGCAGCACAGAACGCACAGGCAGCAGCTGCAGCCGTGGCTTCCACAAGCTCAGGGTACCTCAAGGTAGGGGGAACTTTTGGTGGGAGGTATGAAATTTGAATTAAAAACTCAGGGATGGTTGGGTTGCCTGCCTCCCACTATGATTTTCAAAGTCAAATTAAAGCCAATGTGGGGTTGCTTATAATAATATCTAGATAATTCCTAATTTAGAATAGTTTATAACAATATGTAGCTAATTGATAATTTGTAATTGCTCAATAGAATTTATATAGTTGATAATTAGGAACACTTCCGTCACTCTCTTCCCAGAGACTCCCAGCAGCTGAGCTTGGCCCACATTTCCAAACCCCTGAGCCAATTTCAATCCCCAAGAGCCCAGGGCAGGTGAGGTAAGTGCTTCCCACAAACCTGCACCATTGCAAAGTTTATTTTCCAACAGGATTTTCCAGGCAATCAGTCTCAGGAGGCTCCTGGTTTGTCTCAGTAAGTGGAGAATGAACTTGCACACTGCAGGACTGGGTGCTGTCAGCCAGGGCTGAATCTAAGGGGGGTTTAGGCTGGATTTTAGGGAAAGGTTCTTCCCCCAGAGGTGCTGGCACTGCCCAGGCTCCCCAGGGAATGGGCAAAACCCCGAGGCTGCCAGAGCTCCAGGAGTGCTTGGACAATGCTCTCAGGGATGCCCAGGGTGGGACTGCTGGGGTGTCTGTGCAGGACCAGGAGCTGGACTAGATGATCCTGGTGGGTCTATTCCCACTCAGGATATTGTGGGATTCATAATCCTTTGGTCAGAGTCCCGTTTTCCAGTGGGATGCTTTAAAAGTAGAGCAGCTGTGCTGCTGCAGACCCACCTTAGTAAAGCACAGAGTCAGATTTTCACTGCAAACAGATTTTAAGCCAAGATTAAATGGACAGGTGCAGTTTAAGCCCTCTCTCCTCCAAAGCACAGCCCAGAAAAGCCAAGCAGCAGTGCTGTGTTCCTGTAGGAAATGCCATTTGGGAAGGGCCATGGGGGTCTGTAGGACTTTCACAGCTTGGGAAGCTGGGAGACACTTCCTCATGATTTGGGCAGGACAGAAGGGATTCTCAACAGCAAATGGTTTGTGTTCATTTGGGGCCAGACTCCACAAATCTTTCCTGTAAGAAAATGTGCTTCTGGAAGCCACGGATGTGAATCACAGAAAGGTTAAATAGTGAAAAACCCAAGCAGTTTGATAAGAGACAGGTAAAGGTGTGAGCAAACACAAGCAAGATAAACCTAACAGGCATCAGGAAGGGGCAGTGAATCCTGGGACACACAAACACACCAGAAACTCCTGGCCCAGGGCATCCCAAGGGTGCCCTGGCTCAGCCCCCAGCCCAGGAGTCTGTGCTGTCTGTACAGTATTTCCCAGCCCCCTCAGACAGGCTGGACACCAGCAAATGACAAATTATCATCTCTTCCCACTCCTGGAAAAAAAAATTCAATTGAAAACCATTCCCCCTATGCCAGGGCAGGTCTGGCCCCAGGCAGGTCTGACCTTCTCCCAGCAGCAGACAGGTTGGTGGCTCAGGGTTTGCACAGGGAAGAGGTGACAGCAGCCGTGTGGCACCTGGGGGAAGGGATGTCCCTTTTCTGGGTGCTCTTGGGTGCATTCCCTCCCCAGGTGGTGCAGCCTGGGCCAGGTGGGAACCCAAATGTAACCAGCATTAATCAAAATGAGAAGTGTGGAGGAGGAGCCCCAGGCCAGGCTGGCAGCTCCTGGGGTGTGTGCAGATCCTCCTGGCCTCGGGCTGCCCTGGCTCCCTGCCCGGGCAGTGGGTGAGAGCACAGCCCTGGGCTGTCCCCACCCACTCCAGGATCCTGATGGGTCCCCTCCGGCTCAGCAGATCCTGTGGTTCTGCAATACAGAGCCTCCCTGGGCCTCCCTCCATCTCCTGGAGCAACATTTGTCTTCCACAGGTCCTTGGTGCTTCCTGGAGGCTGGGATGGAGACAAGGAGCTTTTCCCTTTATTTCCCACTGAGAGCTGCAAAGAGGCTTTTCCTACTGGATGGAATACTCAAGAGAAGAGATCACAAACAAGAAAACAAGCACTGGGCAGGGAAGCACTACACTCCACAGTGTTCCCTGAAGGCTCTTGGGGTTTGTGCTTATCTTCTGGAGTTGTGGCAGGAGAGTTTCTAGAAATTATTCCCATTTAGAGACTCCTGTAGCATAGAAAGGGTGTGTGGCCCTTTAAAAATGCTGCTGTTCTTTATATACAAAATACAGCCAAAATACAACCAAAAAACCCATTCAGCCTGAACCAGGGACAGCCTGTGTCCCCTTGGGTGTGCTTAAACACACTGGGGCTGCTCAGGCATGGAATGATTTGGGTGGGAAAGGACATTAGAGCTCATCCCACCCCACCCCCTGCCATGGCAGGGATAGCTCCCATTATCCCAGGTTGCTCCAAGCCCTGTCCAGCCTGGCCTTTGATATTTCCAGGGATCCAGGGGCAGCCACAGCTGCTCTGGGCACCCTGTGCCAGGGCCTCCCACCCTCCCAGGGAACAATTCTTTCCCAATATCCCATCCCTCCCTGCTCTCTGGCAGTGGGAAGCCATTCCCTGTGTCTTGTCCCTTCCTATCCGAAGTCAGAAGAGCTGCACAGACTCAGGGAATGTTTAGGGAAGGGCTTCACAAACCCAGCAATAATCCAAGGGGAGGCTAGACCTGAGAGGCATGAGGAAATCCTTGGACTCTAACAGCCCCACATCCCTGACTCCAGAGGTTTTGCAGGGTTTATCTCCAGCCTCCCTCCCCAGCAAGCCCCAGCAGAGAGTCTCCAGCACAAAGCACCACAACCCGTGTGGCCACATGCCCAGCGAGTCCCTCCCAGCAGAGGGAAGATGGGATAAGGTGTGGATCAGATCCAGAGACAGAGCAGAGCAGAGATGGTGCCCTGGCAGAGCAAGATTGGAACACTGGGAGCATGGGCAAACTGGGGGCTCTGGCCTGATGTTAAAGAAAAAGTTGAAGTGATTGAAAAGCTCCTTTAGCTGGGTATTTTCTTGCCATCCTCAAGGGAAAACGAACGCCAAGACTGGGTTTTAATCAGAGTTCTTCCTGTGCCACAGCACCAGCACAGCCAGTCCTACATTCCTGCACGGAGCAAGCCAAGGACAAGCACGGATCAGAGACTGTGCAGGGTATCCCAGTGCTGGAGCACTGGTTTCCTAAAGGAAAAGCTTAGGAATTCTTTACAACTCTCCTGTTTGCCATTAACACCTCTAACATTGCTGCTGCACCAGCCAAAAAGAAATGAGCCCTGACCTGCTCTTCCCTGCCAGCCCTGTGCAACCAGAATTGTCCAAACTCCATGAAGGAGTTTGGGAAGCTGGGAGAAAACGGGAAGACAGGAAAAAAAAGAAGTTCTCAGAAGTTTACACGGCTGCAGAAAGGCACAAATGTGTCATTCCAAAGAGAAAGAAGTATATTTTTGTCTTCAGCAGTGGCTGGCAGGGAACATCTCTGCCCTGTGCAGAGATGTGCTTTCAATGGGGGAACATATTCCCAATGTTACAGGTCATCCCCGACACTTTGTGGTCTGCAGGACTGGATGAGATTCCAGCTTTTACTAATTTTCTTTAGAAAGAAAGTATTGATGGGGTGTGTACCACCATACCAGCTCCTCAGCCCACCCTGCTGAGGCTGGAAAATTGACTTTTCCTGGTTTCAGACCCTAAAGCAAGGAGGAAATGCTACAGCCTGCTTCCTGCTCTAGATATCCCCAGAGAAGGAATGCTGCTGCAGCTCGTGCAAATCCAACCAAACATTGCATCAAAGACCAAAATAATAAAAGAGAAAAAAAACCCATTAGAGGCATCCTGCAGGATCAGGGGTAAAGCTGCAGGTGGTTTTCTCTCCTGGAAGGTTCAGTGAGGAGCCACATCTCTAACAGGAGTGGGAATGTGACACTGGAAATGCAGACAGCTCTTCCACCTCCTGCTGGGTGTCATAGGATGGGCACTGACCAGGGAAAGGAAACACTGAGGGGGGGAATTCCTCTTCCACTTCCAAGCCCATTATCCCGTTGGATCCAGACTCTGCCAGGCCCCCTGGCTGGCAAATCCCGAGGAAACCCCTGTCCCACAGAACAGAGTGAGGGCATTACCTGGGAGAGAGGAAGGAGGAGCTGCCAAAGCTGCTCTCCCCATTACACAAAGGCTCGGGGAACAGGTCGGCCTCGTTGCCCTCCCCGTAATCCTCGAAGTGCTCCTCCCCGCTGATGACGGTGACGATGGAGTGGCTGAGCTCGGAGCCCAGGGCCAGCTCGTGGGGATGGGACCTGTGGGAGCAGACAGGCAGATGTTAGAGGAGGGGGCACAGCAGCCTTTCCACTGCATCCAGGACATCCTCTTTGCAGAGTATTGGCTTTGTGTGGACAGCACTTGGTACCAGAGTGGTGGATTCTGTGAAAAGCTGCTGGAAGCTTCCCCACCACGTCCAGCAGAGCCCATCCCTGGAAGTGTCCCCCACATCCAGCAGAGCCCATCCCTGGAAACTTCCCCCACATCCAGCAGAGCCCATCCCTGGAAACTTCCCCCACATCCAGCAGAGCCCATCCCTGGAAACTTCCCCCACATCCAGCAGAGCCCATCCCTGGATGTGTCCCCCACATCCAGCAGAGCCCATCCCTGGAAGCGTCCCCCACATCCAGCAGAGCCCATCCCTGGAAGCGTCTCCCACATCCAGCAGAGCCCATCCCTGGAAGCGTCCCCCACATCCAGCAGAACCCATCCCTGGAAACTTCCCCCACATCCAGCAGAGCCCATCCCTGGAAACTTCCCCCACATCCAGCAGAGCCCATCCCTGGAAACTTCCCCCACATCCAGCAGAGCCCATCCCTGGAAACTTCCCCTACATCCAGCAGAGCCTATCCCTGGAAACTTCCCCCACATCCATCCCTCCAAGGTGGACCCGCTGCTGGCTGAGGTTAGGCCCACCAGGCATGGTGGTGGCACCTCTGGGATAACAGATTTGAGAGGGAAAACACAAAAAAGGGATGGGGCAGTGAACTGAGTGCAGAGAAGAGTGGGGTGAGACCACTGGAGAGGAACAGCTCTGCGGGGCAGGGCAGGAGAGGGGCAAGAGCTGCTCTGGGCACCAGAGCTGAGATTGCCCTGAGATTCCCATGGGGAGACAGCCGTGTCCCAGCAGCCCATGGAGCCCAGGCCTGGAGCAGGGGGTGCCTGGGAGGGGCTGTGAGCCCGTGGGAAGCTGTGCTGGGACAGGGTCCTGGCAGGGATCCACAGAGCCCACGCTGGAGCAGGGTCCTGGTCGGATCTGTGACCCTGTGGGGGACCCAGGCTGTGCCTGAAGGAGTGACACCACAGCAGAGTGACACACGGGGCAGCAGCTCCTGGAGAACCCATGGGATGGACTCAGGTTGGAGAGGCTCATGGAGAGCTGGCTCCTGCCAAGGGACCCCACCTTGGGGCAGAGGGAGGACTCTGACTCCTCTTCTGAGCAGTGGCTGAAACAATGGGTGATGAACTGACCACAGCCCCCACTCCCATCTCCCTGTGCCACTGGGGGGAAGGAGGGGGAACTGGGAAGGACAGATGATGGGGGGGATAAATGTTTTTTTAAGGTCTGATTTTACTTCTCATTATCCTGCTCTGATTTTGTCAGTAATAAATTAAATCTATATCCCCAATTCGAGTCTGTTTTGCCCGTGATGGTATTTGATGAGTGATTTCTCCCTGTCCTTATCTCAACTGATGAACCCTCTGTTATATTTTCTTTTCCTGTCCATCTTTGAAGGGCAGGGATGGAGCAGCTTTGGTGGGTGCCTGGTGTCCAGCCAGGGCCAACCCACCCCACCAGGTGAGTGATGTGTCCCATTTTGGGAGAGCAGGACAGGACATAAAAAACCCAGGCACCAGTGGGAAGTTTATGGTGACTTTTTCCCCAATAAACCAAGTTTTTCCACTGGAGCTGCAACACAGGATTTGGGGACACTCAGACTTGCTGGACAGTGCCCAGGGTTGGTGACAAGCCCCTGTTTGACTAAAATACCAGTTTTTGTGATTGGCATGGCAGAGAAAGAGCTGGGCATGTCCCAGCCCCATCCGAAATGCTGTGAGTTCCACAGCAGCCTGTGCCAGGCTCACACTTGCTTGTTGCTGCCTAATCCTCTCAAGGCTTTAACCCTATAACTCCTGGGGTTGGTGCTGGGGAAGGGAGGGTTCAGGCAGCTGGGACAGACCCCCAGCAAGACAAAGGAGCCCCTTCCCTGCTCCATCTGGGAAAGCACTGTGTGACAATCCTGGAGTGGGGAATGCTGCTCCGTGTGTTTTTAACACCAGAGCCAGAAGGCTGCAGCATGCTAAGCCTCGAAGCAAACCTTGAACACACCCAGCACAGCTCCTGGGACGTCCTTTGCTCCTGAGGGGACACAGCTCAGCAGAGTCATTGTCCCTGGAAGAGTCTTTCCATTGCATGGAGACACAAAATCCTGGAATGATTTGGGTTGGAAGGACTTTCAAGCCCATTTCATTCCACCCCCTGCCATGGGCAGGGACACCTTCCACCGTCCCAGGCTGCTCCAAGCCTCATCCAGCCTGGCCTTGGGCACTGCCAGGGATCCAGGGGCAGCCACAGCTGCTCTGGGCACCTGTGCCAGGGCCTGCCCACCATGCCAAGCCCCCTTTCCTGCCCAGCACTATGGAAGTTTTCAAATTAAGACGGAGAAAAGGCAGGAGGGATTTGCAACAACTGGGCTGTGAAGGTGGCCACAGGGTTGTGAGCCACAGCTCTGTGTTTTGAGGGGTTTAACAACACTTTGCTCTCCAAAATTCTACACTGAAAATCATCATAATATTGCTTTATTATAGAAATTGGTATTGGCTCTGCCCTTATCTCCATGCACTGGCTAGGAGAGAGAAATGGGTATGAGCAGATTGCTGGACTAAACCAGAAAGAAAAAAAGATTACACATAAGCCATTTATGACCAAAAACCTGCTCCATCTGAAGGATTTGCCGTTATCCTGCTAATAAAAACATGTCAACCCTCCAGATCTCTATTTAACCACAAATAAATCCAGCCCAGTTTGTGGGCATCTGCACATACTCCTCCTGCCCTTGAGAAGCACCAATATTCCACAGTGGGATCCACTGGAACCCATCCATCTCTGTGGTGAGTCAGACCCTCACCAAAAGCAGTGGAAATCTCTCCAGAAATAGAAGCCAGGGGGTGGAGTTGTTAATTCAGAAGCAAAACCCAAGCCCAGAACTCTAAATTCGGGGTTGTGGTTTGATAAGCACTGTACAGATGCAGATCTGATCAGGAACCTGGAAACCCTCAACCTGGGTGCTTTGGGCAGTAAATTTTATTTCCTATTCCCACCTTGAGACTCAGGCAGTTTCAGGATCCAGAGTCCAACTAATTTTCACTACACACAGCCTAAATAAGCTTTAAGCTCAAACCATTTCAGGTATGAGAGCTCCTGAAAAGTGATGCTGAAGCTCTGATTCAGCCCAGCAGCTGCACTGGGGGGAACTGCACTCCCTGGCTGTCCCTGGGCACAGAGGTGTCCTCCTGTGTGGGGTCTGATGGTACCAAAACTAACCCTCAGCACTCCCACAGGTTCCCACTTCAGATCTTTCAAATCTATAAATCAAACTAAGTTTTTGGCTCCCTGGAATTTGCACACATTTAACAATCTGGGAACAGGCCCCACTGTGCTTGGACAGAGCACCCAAAGGACATCTGACCTTCCCAAGGCCATAGCAAGGGTAACAGGGAATCACAGAATGGTTGAGGTTGAAAGGACCTTAAAGCTCAACAAATTCCACCCTCTGCCATGGGCAGGGACACCTCCCACTGTCCCAGGCTGCTCCAAGCCCCATCCAGCCTGGCCTTGGGCATGCCAGGGATCCAGGGGCAGCCACAGCTGCTCTGGGCACCTGTGCCAGGGCCGCCCACCCTCACAGGGAACAATTCCTTCCCAATATCCCATCCATCCCTGCCCTCTGGCAGTGGGAGCCATTCCCTGTGTCCTGTCCCTCCATCCCTTGTCCCCAATCCCTGGAGCCCCTTTAGGCCCTGTAAGGGGCTCTGAGCTCTGCCTGGAGCCTTCTCCTCTCCAGCTGAGCACCCCCAGCTCTCCCAGCCTGGCTCCAGAGGGGCTCCAGCCCTTGGAGCATCTCCATGGTTTCCTCTGGACTCTCTCCAACAAGCCCATCCCTCCTGTGCTGCTGACCCCACAGCTGGCAAGCACGGGGAAGGAAGAAGCTGATCCAGACCCCGTTCCCAGGCAGTTCTGTACCTACAGGCAGGTGAGTTGGAGGCAGGCTGCCTTCCCCAGCGGGCAGGAGTGCACACAGGCTGCCATGACCCTGCAGGGACCCGTGCTGCTGGCAGGGAGCTCACACTGATTATCTCCCAATTTAACTGTCACTGAGCCCGCTGTGGCGAGAAGAGCCCAGCTGGATAATCCCATTTCTGCTCTAATCCACAGCACCCTTTCAGCCCCGGGGCACGGCGCTGCGATGCCTCTCCAACATCCCCAGATGGGATTGTGGGGTGGAGGGAAGCTTGGAACTCACAAAAAGCATTGGGGCTGTAAGCAGTCCCTGGAACACCATACCTGGGCCTTGTGTTTAGGGACAAACATCATCCTGTGTGTTACAGACCTTAAACAAAGATGATTCCAGAGGTTTTGGTGTAGATTTGTGTTCTTGGGGCACTAATCTGGCACTGGCACAGATTTCCCAGGGAAGCTGTGACTGCCCCATTTCTGGATGTGTCCAGGATGGGACTTGGAGAAACCTGGTCTAGTGGAAGGTGTCCCTGCCCACGGCAGAGAGTGGCACGAGATGAGCTTTAACGTCCCTTTCAACACAAACCATTCTCTGATTCTGATCCTAAAGGACTTCTTCCCTGCCTTGCTGCCTGCCAGCATCCCAGTTTCACCCCAAACCCCACTTTTCCTCCAAAAATGAGGTGGGCCCACGAGCAGTTTCGCCAGCAGCGGTTCAGACCCAGGGAAGGAGATCTTGGCTCACGTTTCTGTGCTCCAGGCAGAGATTTCAAACCAGTTATTACAGGAGGTGGTTGCACATCAAAGGGCACACGCATGTTTTTAGGGAAAACAAAAATAGAACGAGTTCCCCTCCTGACTGGAAAATTATATGTTGTGTTTCTGGCTTAAGTGATAGATTAAAAACTGCAAGTCTTTCAGGTGTTTGGATCACCTGAGAAGTTATTTTAGAGGTTAAAGATGCTAATGAGGGTACAGAAGATCTCCCAAGGCAAGCAACGATTAACTCAAAGAGATTGCCAGGCCGGGCTCCAAACCAGCCTACACAAACCAGCCTAATTATTCTCGTTATTCCTCCAGAAGAGCTATTTTGGTCTTGCACATCGTTACAAACACAAAGTGATGCCTCAGGTTTTAGCTTTTATATTTTTCAGATTCTGTGCTGCTTTAGTGTGTGGGTCTGGGCTTCATATTAGGGGATGGTGAGATCTCTGCACAGAGTAGGGAGACAAAACAATTCCTGCTCTAGCTGGGGACCAAGGACAAATGAGCCAAATTTCAGGCCCAAGAGCAGAAACAACATGGACTGAAGAGAGAAAAACAAGGAGGATGAGACTTCATGGGCTGGAGCTATAACTGGACAATTAACTTCAATATGCAAATGGACCAGAACTTACAAAAATATGAGACCTTGTGACCAGTTGTGCATTTTGTGACCATTTTGATTCACCTGAGGTGTAACCCTGGCTGGGCTCTTGTGCTGCCCAAGGTGGATCCACTGAGGCCTCCTAATAAATCCCTACTTTATTCTTCAGCTCTGTCTGGTCTCTGTTCCAGGTCAGCCTTCCCAAGGCGCCAGAAGAACAACCCAAGTTCCAGCAGGACAAACTCGGCCCGCTGGGTGTGAAACCCTCGGGCTGTGTCTCCCCAGGCCCCGTGTGGGGGTTTGCTCCTCACCCATGCTCCGGCTCCTCGATGGGATCCGTGAATTCCGAGTGCACGGTGGAGTCGATGGCGCTGTCGGTCTCCACCTCGTCGTGCATCTCGTGCTGCACCAGGGTGCTGGTGTCCTCATCCGTGAAGGTCTCGCACTCGCTGTAGGTGCTCTCCGAGCCCATGTAGGCACTGTCAGTCACCTCATTTGCCTGGTTAAAAAAACAACACACAAGAAGCAAAATGATAAGATCCTATCGTGGCAGAGCAGACAGAACGTGGATGAGGGGATTTTTGCTGTGTTGCGTTTCTGAGAGCAGGAATCCAACCTCTGGAATTGCCCCAGGCACAGGTGCTCTCTGTGGGTACCATGGGGTGCACCTCAGCCTTTGCAGGGTTTGGGAAGCAGATCACACACAGAGGGACTAAACAAGAGGTGGAGGGAGGTTTTGTTGTGAGCCAGGATGGATTTGGCCAGGGCAGGAGGGATTACCCACCGCTGACGCAGCCGTTCCCATCACTGCTGCTTTCTCCCACCCCATTCCAAGAGGACATGTTATTATTAATCTGAATTCCATGCAAAAACCACCATTAAAAACTCCCAATTAGCCCTTGGAGCACCTTTTTTTTTGTCCTGTCTAGTAAAACCATCCCTCAACAGCAAATAACTGTTTCTAAATCTTCATTACAGCTTCTGATTTGCAGGGACTCAAATCTCCACACATCAGCTGGAGCAGCATCTCAAATCCATCACAGAGCAGGCTCTGGGAAAGCAGCAGGGTTTGTGTTTTAAGAGACTGTGATACGAGCAAGGAGAGCTGAGTTTTCCAGCTCTGCACCCCAGGCAAGTGATCAGCTTCAGGGCTGCCTGTTTGCTCCCACACACGGGCAGGGACAATCCCTTCTGATCCTGATCTCTGGAGAACCATGGGAGCAGCAGGAGAACCCCCCAAAAGCTCTTGTTACCCCTCACAGTGCCAGCCCCTCTCCTAAGATTTGGGGATTTCCCCAGCACGCCTGGGAGCAAATCAAGGAATTTTGGGATTGCCAATGCTGGTGCCGAGCTCCAGCTGATCCCCTGTCACCGGAGGGGTCAGGCAGAGGGATGGGATGCCCCACCTGAAGGTGAAGAGCTGCTCATGGAAAGCATCTGCTCCACCTGAAGTTCACCTGGTGGCCCCTCCAGCACAGCAGCAGAGCAAAGCAGCAGCAGTGCGAATGCAGGCATGACTGAAGCAAAACCCTTTTCCTCTGCCAGGGTGTACAGAACAGCTTTCAGGGCTTTTCCCAAAGATTTTGGAGAAAATGATGTTTCTCAAAGCACTGTATTCATAAAATCATGGAGTGGTTCTGATTGGAAAAGACTTTAAAACCCATCTCATTCCACTCCCTGCCTATTCCACTACCCCAGGTTGCTCCAAGCCCCACCCAAACTGGCCTTGGACACTTCCAGGGGCAAAAAGGGATAGAAACCCTCGAAGGGATGGAGAGAGAGCTGATAACAGCAATTCCCACTCCATGTGGCCACTGGGAGCAGCCAAGTGACTCAGTCCAGCCCTGCTTTGCTCTCCCAGCCTCTGTGCCCACCACACTCAGGAGATGGACACAGCCAGGAGCTCCTCTTGGAAACCTGGCTCAGCTTCCACCTGCCTTGTGGACACCAGCACCTCCAGGACATCTCCCTGAAGTTAAACACAACACAAACCTGCCCACAGCTGGAGTCTGAAGTCAGTGAACTTCACCAGTCAGAAGTTCCAGTGAACTTCACCAGGGCAGAGCCTGTGCCTGTCTTGCAGAGAGAAACAAAAGCCTCTAAATCCACCAAAACCACTTACACATCTAAAGCTGGGACTTGCTTAAGTGCTTTACTGGATTTATGCTGCACTTTCTAGAAACACCATTAATGCTCCAGCAGGAGGGACAAGGGGAAGCAGAAGCTTGACCTGCCTTGGCTTGGTCACAGACAGAGAAATCCCAAGAGGTGACAGCAGCCACCCCCAGCTGCACATTCCCTCTTGCCTGTTTGAAAAAGATTTCATGCCAAATTGGAAAGAATTTTACTTGCACATTACAAAATAAAGGTTGCTTTTTAAATACCAACCCCGCCCCCCTCCTTCTCACTGGAAAAGCTTAAATTTAAGCATAGGTTGAAGTATTATAATGAGCAATTTGAAGTACTATAATGAGCACAGAGTAAAGACAACTATTGAAAGAAGCCAAAAAACCTCCAAACACTCCAATTCACAAGTAATTTGATTAGAAACCCTGCTGTGGTTACTGCTGACCCTCTCAACATGAAGCAAACCAGGAGCTGAACAGTGCCCTTAATCAGATGTTGGAACAAGAGGACCTTCAAGGTCCCTTCTAACTCAAACCATTCCATGATTCTATGATTTCTCTATTAAATTGTTCTAAAACTCCTCATTGGTGGGAAATACACACATGGACAGGCTGGATTTGGGAGCAACACTTCTGGAGTAGGAGAAGCCACCAGCACAGCACATCAACCATTGTCCTTCAGCCACACCGAAGATATGCATTGATTTATTACCTAAAAATTGTATTTCTCCTTTGTGATACCAGCCTAGGTGAAGATTCAAAAGCAAGAAAGCCCTATTAAAATTAAACCTGGGTGGACAATGAGTTAAGAAGCAGCTGAAACTGTAAACAAAGTCCTCCTCCTGAGCACGAGCGTGGAGAACTTTGCTGCACATTCCACCGCAGAATCAGTAACTAAACCTCAAGAAGAGATGCCAGGAGGAGATAGGCAAACCGAGGAGGGTCAGGTATTGCCAAATGCCCGACAGAGCCAAATCTCTGTCCCTGGGCAAGTGTGTGGGTACAGAAGGTTCTTATTTATGGCCTCATGAGCAGCTGTTTTGTGCACTGACCCTTCAAATCCCCCTGCCACAGCTCTCCTTCAGCCAGCTTTGCCTTCCTGTGAGCAGAAAGTAAACATCTTTTCCGGGTTAAAAAAAGCCAAATGCACACTTAAAAAACATCCATGGGCTCAGGACAGCCAGGTTGGGCTACCCCCACCCCAGAAAACTTGCCAGGAACATTGGTGCCATGTTCAGAGAGGGGCTGGTGTCACTAATATCAGTGCATTTTGATTTTTTATCGAATAAAACACACCCTGAAGTGCTTCAGGCAAACCTCAGACATTAAAACTGGGACTCAGGCACACGCAGAGTTCTGAGCTGGAACAGGATCAGGGTTTGACAGAGGCTCCCAATCCCAAATCCAGCTCCTCCAGAAGGTATTTCCCCTGAGCCACACCTGGCTGACAGGACAGAGAGGTATCTCTGTCTGCTCAGGGAATCTCCAGGGATCTGAGAGCCCAGGTGAGCACTCCTGCTTCTAAAAGGAAATAAATTGTGAAATCAGCACTGAGATGATGTAATGTGTCCTGATGAGACAGGTGAGGTGCCTTTAGGAGTCTTCTCCAGCAGCAGCTCATCCATCCCAGGCATCTCTGACATATGGGAATAAAGATTACCTAATTAGATGTTGTAAAGTGCTATAAAAACATATAGATTAATAAAAAAGCTGCTGCAGTGTGAGGAGAGGAATTCTTGGGAATTACCTACAAGGTCCAGGCAGGGACAGAAGGTTCAGCACAAGCTCTGCCAAGGCGTTGCCTTGGAAAGGAGGGCAAAGTCTGGCTCCCAGGGAGGTTCCTTCCAGGCAGGGCTGTCCCTGGAGCTGTCCTGGCATCCCAAAGCTCGGCTGTCCTTGAACACAAACACTCGGAAGGTTGGGAGGGGGGGTGAGTGACAAGGAAAAGGAAAAACAACTCTGTTTTCCCAGCAGTGTGAGCCTGTTCTGAAGAATCCAGCCCTGACTGCGCACAGGATGCAGAGGAGATAGATCAGTTACAACAATCCCCCTCCAAGGACACCCTGAGGCCCAGACAGCAATGACAGTGCCAGGCTGGGAGCCAGGGAGAAGGGACACAGTTATGTTTATAGTCCCACATTAATGCAGCTGCTCCAAAGCCCTGGAACAGCCCAGGGCAGCTCTGAAATGCCACTTTGGGGCCTGCCACCTTCGGGTCCGAATATTGCCCTCTTCCCACACACCCGGGCAATGCCAGCTGTTCAGGGAAACCAGGGAGCCTCTGCTCAGCCCTGGGTGAAGGCAACGTGCACAGCTCAGCCCCTGGAGTTTGGGTTGTTACACTCCATCAAGGCTGGGCAAGAGAAACGTGCTGCAACTGTTGGGGCAAATTGAAAACACTCACCCAGCCCAGAAACAAACCCCAAACCAACTCACAAAACAGCACACCTGGCAGGCTGTCCCCAGCACCCCAAAAACCAGCAGGCACTGTCCCTGCTGGTCCAGCTCCCCCAGGGAGAGCCAGGCAGAGAGGAGTGTGAGGTTACACCACAGCCCATAGAATCACAGAACTGTGCAATGGTTTGGGTTAGAAGGGGCATTAAAGTTCTACCCAGTCCCACCTCTGCCATGGACAGGGACACGTTCCACTGTCCCAGGTTGCTCCAAGCTGCATCCAGCCTGGCCTTGGGCACTGCCAGGGATCCAGGGGCAGCCAGAGCTGCTCTGGGCACCCTGTGCCAGGGCTCACCACCCTCCCAGGAAACAATTCCTTCTTAAATCCCATCTAAATCTCTCCTCCTTTAATCTAAACCATTCCCATGAAAAAAAAAATCAGGTGGATCTGCCCATATAACAAGTCAGGTGCATTCCCAGCCTGCCCCTTCCCGGCACCTCTGGAAATCCAATCCCTCCTCACTTTGTGTCAGCTCGCAAAAACCCACCTGTGGAGACATCCTGGCCAGAGCCAGGGCCAGCTCCGGGAGCTGCTTCTGCGAGGCAGGAGGGAAGCAAAGTCCAGGGGAGCCGGGAGGCTTAAGGAGCGAGCTGGAGTCCCAACAGAGCGCCTTTTGTTCCCGACCCCGATAAGGAGCAGGAGCTCGGGCACACTTCCCTGCAGCCTCCTCCCGCTCCCCCGGATTCCAAAATAAAAGCTCCTTTTGGGAGCTCACACTTCCCACGAATCCATCCCCAGAGAAAAAGGCTGAAGGCGACCTGTCCAGGTTTATCTCGGCCTTCCTGGTGTTTCTGGTGAATAATTAAGCGTTAAGTGACAAATGCCTTCCTTATAGCCACAAATAGAGGGATGAATCAAGCTTGGATTGGTGGCAGGTCAGACGCACTTTTGGTGACTGGGAGGGTGGTCTCTGGCAGG